GATCTGCTCTGCCTAAGGAGAACTTGGCAAGCGGCGGGGCTCTGAGTTATGTGAGATCATCCTTCCAGTTCAGTTTTAACAGTATAGTTAACCCAGCGTACACTATGGCATTGCAACCCTCCTCTGAAGAAAAATCTTTAGACTCAAGTGCTTTGAAGGGATTTATGGGACAAGACTGTTAACGTCCCTGTAATTTTAAGCATGACCAGGGCCTAATTCTGTTGTTCTGATTTTTAGAAAAACAGATTGATTTAATGTAATTTGTTTTCAAAACATATGACCGTATTACTGGTCATTCCCTCAGTTTCCATTACTCATTATGTGTGTATCTGGTTAGAAAAGGAGGAAAGTTAATTACACCACCAGTATTATACCTGCTCAGTGCTTAACAGACTCAACTCATTAGAAGTATATAACTAACAAATATTATAAATGCCTGAATGTGTATGTGGGCATGACTATGCAGAGTGAGAGGAAACAGACCCTCAGTAGTACGAAGGTCCCTTAGACTAATCTTCCTGTAGTTTATTTCAATTAAAACTCTGATACTCCAATCTCTTTATATTAGGTAGTGAAATCCTGACTGTACAATATATGCTGTTTAAATCATTCTCATACGTCAGAGCATCTTCAGAGCTGATATATAGCTTGCCTACTCCACAACACTTCAAATACTACACTAAAGCATGTTCTTTTTTGTGTTGCAGAACCTGGGAAGAAGGGAAAGTTCTTATTTTTGATGACTCTTTTGAACATGAAGTATGGCAGGATGCTGAAAATTATCGCCTGATATTCATTGTGGATGTGTGGCACCCTGAGTTAACAACACAACAGAGACGCACCCTTCCTGCTATTTAAGGGGTTCCTTCTTATGCGTGGAGCAGAGGAGCTGTGACCCCTTTGGAGTATGCAAATAGGATTAATTTATCCAGCATACAAAGAATACAAGTATTGTAAAGGTTAGAAGAGATAAAGATGACATTCTGCAATCACAGAGGACTTGATTTAAAAAAAAAAAGGAAAAAAAAAAAAAGGAAAAAAAAGAAAAAGCCATGTTTTGTTTCATACTGATACAGCACTGACAGGTATTGTTTTTTTGGCTGCAAGTTTGAAAATACAAATCTTGTCAGCCAAAGAGCAATAGGTCTGGATTTTCAAACTGAGGAATGTGCAGATGTTTTTGCCATGGACTGTTATGCATACAAAGCCAGTAAGTCAGTCATCTGCCCGACCATGTTCAGGCACAAGATGTGCAATGCTACATCTGGGAAATACTTCCCAGGCTTTTGTCTGGGAAGCAACATGTGAGGTATTTACAAACATATGCACACAATCAACTTGGAAAATCAGTATGCAGTTATAACGTTAGCTGCTTTAGGCATAAAACATGTCCCTATGTTATCAGCTGTAGATAATGTGAATGGGTTATGTATGTTTTGTATTATTTTCTACCTGAGTAACTGTATTTTTCTAGCATAATTATGAACAAATTGTCTTTAATCAACCACTATTTTTAAAAAAACAATATATGTAAGTGCATCTCTAGCTATCAGCAGAAGGAAAGTACTATATATGAACTGATTTCATTTTTGCCAAGTGTGGCCTTCTCTTGCCTTCCTGGAAATGCAAACAGAAACTTGCATAATCAGCTGCTTAGTGAAGCTTTGTTCTGAAACAAAATAGTTCTCTTAGCAGGCAACCTTCAATTTGCTAATGTGATTTTGGAAGATGTTGAGCAAATGTGACATCTCTAGACTCAGATCTTAAAATGCTTGACGGTTTTTAGTGTGGTGAACTGCTGTTTCTCCTATCGTTACAAAAGTGTGTGTTGTGATATCTGTTTTCTGCCCAGCAAGGGTCTGGGCCACCTCCTCCCAGGGGCTACTCCTAGGCTGCCCTTGGGTGGTCATTCAGCAGAAAAAAAATAAATGAAGGATTTCTTGTGCTTTGAGCAGAAGTACAAGGTCTAACTTGGTTTCCTGACAGAATGCAGAGCATACAAAGAGCTTCAGGTTATTAACTTAACTTCTGCTGCCAGCATCCTACAGAGTTCTAGAATGATCCTTTAATTGACCTAATGGTGTTTTCCTTGTCTTGAAATGTATGGCATAATGCTGAAGTATCCCAGCACTGTTTACTGTGTGCTCCGTATCTGCCATACAGAATTTATTGTATGGTAAAAAAGCCTGTATATTTCAAGACAGAAAACTGGTTGGAGGTTTAGGCAGTTGCCTGGTCTTTTCGGTCTGTACTGCTTGATGGGAGATGGAGGGTGCAGAACTCTCCACTGTTAACTCCCAAGAACACTAAAAGGAAAGACAGACCTGAGGTTGGACTGTTGATGTTTATGACCGGCTGTTACCTACTCACCTGCAAAAACAGACGGGTATGGGTGGGTGTGCCAGGATGGTCAGGGCTTGTCAAGAGCAGGGGCATCGCTACCGAGGGTTCTGAGAGACAAACACTAAGCAAGGAGACGTCGAGGTTACTTAGTCTCCACAGCTTTGGCTTCGTTGTCCAAAAGAGACTGAACAGTCATCTTATTTGTTTAATGTTCAGTGGTTTTGTGCTACACCATGGTACCTAAGTATCATGACCGGAATGCCACATTTGCTGAGGCAAAATACAGATAAGAGCTTTGCATTCCCATAAACTGAATGCTTTTCAGATTTTGTATTTTACGAGGTAATTAAATCTTGTAATGCCATGCAACACATGGTGATTGCACCGTAAATTAGTGTGACCCGTTTCTGGAGGTGTGCACTTTAATTTCCTTTTTGACTGTTAAACTGATAAACCCTCTCTGCTCAAGAGTCAGTTTTAGACAGGTATGATAATGAGGCTTTAATGTGTTGTCAGCACCAAAAATAGCACTGAGACTATAGACAATATACAAGAAAATAACAGTTCTCAGTTAATCATCATGAAAACTGAAAAGATTTATGAGTTTCACACTTAAGAAAATATAAAAATTCTTTTGAGGAACTTTAGGAGAATCATGTGCAAAACTGGAAAAAAAAGGTACTCATTATTGTGGGGGGTAAAATAGTAAAAAAAAAAATGTTTTAGATGTCCTGGTAGTTGTTTAGTCAGAGGCTGTATTTTGTATCTTTGTAAAGTGATTAAGCAGTACAGATTATAAACTATTTTGTAATTCTCTAAAATAAAGGCATAGTTTGTAAAGAAGGAATCAAGAACCATTTAAACCAAAATTTGTGGTTTAGTAATATTTTTATTAATGTTGCATTTTAGTTTCTATAGCTCAGAGTAAATGCCAGAGGAGCAGTAAAAGCTTTGGAGCTTTGTTTATGAAAACCCATGTCGTCCTTCAGATTGTTTCATTGTTCCTTTGAAGGCTCATACTTTATCTTGTCCAATTGCAATTGGCAAATAGATAAAATTGGCAAATAGATAAAAGTAATCTACCCAAGATGTGTGTGTGCCGGAGTAGCACTGTTTATTAAATTGTGTAGTGATATATTGGCCATTTAAAATCTTAAGTGCCTTGAATATGGCAAGGTGTATTATGAATAGCTCCTGCAACACTGAAGCCAACCTACTCTATGCCTACCTGTCAAGGAGCTGAGAGCATATCTTTTTGTTAGGTACAGTTACTGGATTAGCTATATACATGGGGAGGACGTAATTTCTGTAGTTTACTATATATGTATGCAGTGAATAAGTGGTATGTTATTTTAGGTATTCCTGTTTGCCAACTGGTATTTCATCTTTAAAAAACTTTTTAGCATTGGAAATGCCAATGAAGAAGTGAATGGAAATGTTTTTTAAATGGAGAACCATTGCAATTGAAGTATTTTTTTTTTCTTTAGATTTATTTACAAAGGAAAATGACAGAAAAGGACAATATAGTCTGTTTGTAAGGCAGAACGTACTTGTCACAATGTCAGGAGGTGGATTCCTCCCTGCCTATGGTTACCTTGCAAGCTCAGAGTCTGTGTGAGATCCTATGGTTAAATACAGGCATCATATGTATTTATTCATGTCACAGCTAAAAAAAAGAAATAATTCTAATCCTCTGCAAGGATTAATCCTCAAGGACTAGATTTCAGTGATATTTGCACTTCTGGGGCAGAGCAGGTCCCACTGGAATGAACAGTGATTCTAACAGGTCATTACAAAGATTCAGTGGCAGTGGAGGTAAGTGTATTAACAGAGAAAAATTGTAAACCAAAGTATTTCTTCATTAATGCTGCAATATAATGGCCAATGTCTGTCCTTTTCCCTCAATTTTTTTTACTTTCTGCTTTAAGCAAGTTCTCTGTGATGAATCCAAATGCCTGTGAGTCTTTGTAAGCCCAGGGAAGGGAAGGGAATGGAGCTCTATCCTGTAACCGGGAGCTGACATCCTAGTTTTCTGGAATAGGTGGTAATACCAGGGGAGTGGGGATGGAAGAAATCCCGGTGATAAATGGGCTTACTTATCTTATTTGTTTAATGTTCCTGCAAGCTTCTGCTTTTTTTTTTTTTTTTTTTCTTGACTCCCGTATTGCCTTGCTGGGACCATCCACTGCCTTAAAGACTCGCTGTCTACCGTGGAGGCCAGGCTTCGTGTCAGTGACACGCTGCTGCAGAAGGTCATTAGTCTGAACGAGGCTATTCTGTACAAGTACTAGCGGGTAAATCCCAGGTGTGTTGATAGGATCTGGCAGGATGTCCTGTCTGCCCTCTGCGGGCATAAAATGTTGTAGAAAAAGGCAATATTTTCTTAGTCCACCTGTTAAGGCTGACCATGTCCAGTTGAACTATATCATCACTTCAGCGTATCACTTATGAATTCAGTGGGTGTTCCAGAGGCACATTAAAAACTCTTGTGGCCATTATCTTCTCGTTTTATACATATGGTTTACACTCCTACCTTTGACGCGTTGTTGCCAACCACTTGTTCTAGTGAATTGTCAATGTATGGCAATTTAATGGAAAATTAAAGGTGTGAACAGTGGTTGTAACCATTTTAGGAAATAAAGTCACTGCACATGCAATTTGATAACAATTTTTCTTTTATTTCTTTAATCTGGTTTCCATTTCAGTGAAGGGATGAGACTCTCTCTGCAGCTAGAGCAAACAGAGAAATAACAAACTGGTCTTTGGCTTTTCACTTCTCCTATTCTTCCACATTTCTTTCTAGCAGAAGCTTGTACTAAATAATTAATCCTAGGTTTTTTCTTTTTCATTTTAACCATGGCCTGCATCTGCAACCAGCATACCCCTCTGGCTACACCTTTCACTGACTGCAGGAGGGAAGGGGGTAAATGGCTCTGCAGAGCTTTCGTTTGCTGTTGTGACCTAAATGAAACAATCTGGACTGAACTGTTAATCACTGCTGAATCTGTCCATTGAGTGTCCCTAGCACACACACCCCCCCCCATCACCTGTGCACACGCACATGTCTAATAGGGTCCCAAGTTGCCTGTGGAAAAACACATTGTTAAAATTAAATAATTGCATTTCAAATTGTGTGTGTCTGCTGCCCACACAGCTCATCCCACATAGCTGACAGTTTTTTAAGGGCTTCAAAAATTAAGAATGATTTTTACTAGATACTGAAAAGTGACCCCCTATAAGCAGCATGGATAAGGCAGTCACAGAGTGTCATGTTGAATGGCATTATGCTGACAGGTTTGGTTTTTTTTTTTTCCTTTTTTTAATGCAAAATCCTTCTGCAGAGTACTCTGTAGATGCTGCTGTTTCTGCCCTCTGAGCCAGGTTAAACTGCTGATTACAGTGCAAATTTGAAATCTGAGATGCTTTTCTTTAAAACACACTTAACCTTTGCTTCTGTAAAACTGAGCATCCCTGCTGGAGTATTCAGGAAAACTACTGACACACCCTGGTTTCTTTAAACAGAGAATGCAGTCCCACCATTTCCAATATTAATAAGTCAAAAAAAAAAAAAAATTCCTTGTATATGGACAGACTCCTGTGTCAATAGAAATTTCTCAGGTATTGTTCAGCGTTGGCCGCACGGACAGATGGCTGGTGACAGTTGTTACTTGGTCAAGAAACATGAAGGACTTGATTCTCAAGCATGTGTTTGTGTGTGTGTAGTGTGCTCTGTGGGTTTCTGGTACGGTGGAGGCCTGTTGATGGATCCGTGTGTGCCGGGCATGTGGGAGCTCAGTCCAGAGCCAGCAGCGGCTGGGTGTTCTCGCTTTCCCCCTGGTCTTCGTGCTTCAGCGTGCCGGCTTCCACCACGGACTGGGACCTGCAAGCAAGAAGAAACGCGTGCTGGCGAAAGCTGCTGCAGTACTCACCTTCCTTTGCTTCATTTTATGATTTTTCCCTTTGTCCATTTTCATCTTTACAGCTTTTTAATTTTTTTTTTTTCTGTGGAACACCTAAGGAATTTGAGAAGCGTTCCCTTAAATACAAACAGGGACATGACTCATTGCAGATCTCAAATGCTTTCAAAACATTTAGCGCTTAGCTATTCTCCATAATACTGAACGCACTCAGCAACTTCAAGGCCTGATCCTGAGATACCATGAGATCTCTTGGTGTTTAATGTCTTCCTAGGCAAAACTACTTGTGCAACTGCTTGTCGGAAAGCAAAGTCATTTGTACAAGTGCTTGCAGGAGTGAGTCTCAGTTCACACTTGTTACAAATCTCGAGAACGACAAGGAAATAAATCACATTTTACTGATGTAGTGGTTTAAGGGGCAGAACTTCCACAAGTTACCAAAGATCAATGAAGAAGCCAGAATTAATATGACAACAAGGGAGCTCCTGGTGTGCCCAGTCTTGCAATTTATCTTTATCTCCTTGTCTACATCCTTGAAGGAGAACTTTATTCAGGGCTAGTCCATTTGAAATTCAGGCTGGGAAGCATAGTTTGTCCTGTGCTGCTAACGGACAAAAAAACCCCAACGTGTAAAAAATGAGTAAACTCTAGAGAAAGTGAAGCATCATGACTTCTTATAGTGACAAAAGCTGAATGGGCTTAAACTAGTGGGAAAATTTGAGACATTTTATTTTCCAAGGTCTGTGTGCTCCAGTATTTGCTCACTGAACTATGGAAGGACAAATTCATGAGTTTATTGTTACAGAGTTTTGTTACCATCCATTTTCTCTGTTTCAGGCTAGGAGTTGCCTCCCAGTTTGGAGTAGGCAATAAGCTTTAGAGCAAAATCACTGTGTGAAATGGGAACTTTTTCAAAGGTAGGACTAGAATCATCCAGCCCAGGCATTTGCATTGTGCATAGTATTGTTTTAAAGAGCCAGTTTTCTCATGGATAGCTTTTAGAATTAGGGCTAGCTCTCATTCCCTACAGAATGTGATTGTAGTTCCCAGCTCAGTTTAAACCTTAGCTATTTCATGAGATTATGTATCACCTCTCTTTTGATAGGTATCATTAATAAATTGAATCCTCTGGTACTGCAGCACTTGATCGGAACTGAATACCATGACTATGAATATCTTGTGTGATTATTTTTCTTATTCTTATGCCTGGAGCTTTCATTAAAGCATAATAAAAAAAAAAATCATTAAAAGAAAAAAAAAATCTCCAGAGAGAGATAACAAAAACTGGATGCTCAATGGGAAGATTTTATGCCAAAATTTTCAAAGAAAATATGTTTGCCCAAATGTTTTCACTGTGTATTTTTTACAGTAATGTGACATGCGTAATGTTTATGGCTGCATTTTAATATAGAAAAGCAGCTGATCCAGGAGGTTATGCAAAACGGCAATTTACATATTTCTAGTATGTGGCAGCATCAACTAGTCATGTGGCTTTGAAAATGATACAAAATGGATTCAGACAGTGACTTAACAGTTTTTTGTTTTCTTTTCTGGACTATCAGATTAAATAATTATTAACTAGTACCTGATTAATACTTGTCACCAATGTATTGTCTCTGTCTGACCCACTGCCCTACAGTGAATATAAAAAGTCGCAGATCCATTGCAGCATTTGCCAGCATACAGCAGAAAGCTTCTTTAGGTTAATTGTGAAAAATCTTGCAATTTTGCCTTTTGTGATTACTGCTAATTATCTCTGCTCTCATCTCCTTACACAAAAAAATTTTCTTGCCCCTGTAACAGCAAGATACAAGTCTCTCCCCCATACTGGTACTCAGATTCATGCCAGTTTGGGAGCAACATAATCCCAAACTCTGTTTGCAGGTCCCACACTGCTCCTCTTCACACAGAGCCAAAATAGCTGGAGCATCGAGCAAATTCACTGCAGCCCACCTGACCCCCAAGTTCAAGATGCCAAGTGGTTCAAACACTATGCCCAGCCCTTCTGAATAACGCAGAGAGGGATCCAACTGAGGTTTTACTATCTGCCAAGCTCTGCAGCAACAATCTCTTTTCCTTTTCTCCTAGAAGCTCCTTGGTCTCCTATCCTCCAACGAGCAGTTCAGACATCTATCTGAAGGGCACAGGAGTGATTCGAACAATTACTGCTATTTTCTAAGATACCACAGCAAAGGACTTTCTGTTGTGTTTGGATTTCTGTTTTCCAAATGCATCATTTTTTCATTTGCTGAAAAATGTTTCCAGTTTTGTTTTTAACTAAAATTTTATGTAGGGAAAAAAGCAAATTACTCAATTCTCAACAAGATTATAAAATAATTTTTACATATTCATCATTTATGGTAAATATTAAAAATGTAGATGCTCAGAAAAGCATTTTGGCAAGATATATATCAATGCAGATCACAATCTAATGTAATAACTGGGTGTGAGAGATATGTTTTACTGGCCTAGATCATTCTGAAGTATTTATTCTAGAGCTATACTTTATTTAATGACAGAAAAAAGATGATTTGCAATTGACTACTGTTGCAGAAACCATTTTCACCTGGCCAGTAACTATATTTTGCACCTGCAGAAATTAATATAAGATAAATACTGTTTGAAAGAATGCACCCTGTGTGTTGAATTCATCTTGCTTTTGTGTATCTAACACACGTACTCAGTTCAAGGAAAGTTGTTGTATACTAGGTATGTGCAAATTTACACAATATTTAGGGAGTTTTGGATACTGACTCTAGTGTTGAACCTAGGACTAAGACTAGTTTCTCTTTTAAAAGTACTACTACCTTTTCTAACTGCATTAACGTTTTCTTCAGAGGACTTTACAGTCACGTTTCAAATCTTTAAGTAGAATCTGATCATGGTGCTTGAAAAGTGTTTGGGTATCTAGCTCCACCTTAATCTTTTACTGAAAAAGATATTGTAGTCAGGCACCGAAGCCCTGACTAGTCCTTCTAATTTGCCACCATCTTTGCATTAAAAACACCCTCTTGTGCAACAGCTTAAGCCATTTTGATGTAAAATAGTAAATGACCAGTACAGATCTTTGCTTCTTTGGCAAGCTCAGTTTAAGCTTTGACCTTGTAAATGCTGTGTGTGCTGCTCTGTTGGTACCCTACAGCAAACAGAAGTTCATGGCACCAGACAAAAGCATTTTTATTTTGCTACCTTCCTATATCAATGTGTACAAATACCTGATGGAGTAGAGAACACAAAGCCAGACTCTTCTCAGAGATACCCAGGGACGGAAGAAGAGGAAGCAGGCGTAAATTGAAATACAGGAACTTCCACTTTAACATAAGAACAAATGTTTTTACTGGGGAAGTGGACAAACACCGGAACGAGTTGCCCAGAGAGGTTGTGGAGTCTTCATGCTGCGAGATATTAAAAATCTGGATGGATACAGTCCTGGGCAACCGGATCTAGCTGACCCTGTTCTGAGCAGGGGGTTGAGTAGAAGATCTCCAGAGGTCCCTTCCTCAGCTTTTTTGTGATTCTGTGCCCACAAATATACCAGCTGCTCTGAAGCATCCCAATTCACGTTTCTCTATCCCGACAGGGCAATTATTTTCCTTCCAAGCTCATTATGCCTTTGGGATGTCAATTTTGACAGTGTGGATGACATTCAGCTGGTAAACATAGACACCTACTGCCGTTCAAGTCACCTTAGGGTATCCAAGACAACTTCTATGGCTGACTGTTACAACCCAGGGTTTATAGAAGACTTGTAGAGGGCTTGTGTCCTGGAGTAACAGATGGAGGCCAAGAGGGCATCGCAGTGCCTAAAATCATGCAAGATTCCCATACTTAGGCAGCAGAGGCTCAGCTGTGCTGTTGTTTTTGCAGGATGAATGCAACTAGTTTGTAATGTTCAAGACACGTCCAAGTCATTTTGACCTGGGCCAGATGTGAACTAATCATCTAACAGGAATTAATAATTGCATTGGCCTTCTCCTCATATCACTACATTTTAGTTTTGTGTTGTGATTCGTCTCACCATCAGACATCTGTGGTCACTCTGTGCTATAAATAGCAGAGAGAAGCAGACATTCTCAGGGTGCAATTCATCTGACCTGTTCTAAACACATGGTCATATCATAAGATTCGTGGGTTTCCTACATTCAGGTCCCTGTTCTGATGAGTTCTCATCTGTTAACACCAGGGGTAACAGGTTCCATGATTTACGAAGCAGTGCTTCCTACATATCATAGCCACGACTGCCTCACGCTATATTATCTTCAATACTCACCTGAAATGTGGCACATGTCCTGTGGATGCTGCAACTTTGGAATTATAAATAAGTATATTTGAATTCAAAGCCGCCTTGTTTTCTTTCTTTCTCAGCTAAAAATTCTCAGTAACCAGTTTGGAAGATGCTCAGGTGTGGAGGATCTGATTGAGTTAAATTTTGACACAGGTAGGCAATTGTTTGTGTCACACAGACAGGGTCACTGTGTAAGGCCCTGGGCTGGCAGACCCTATGCCTGGCTGTCTTTAGCATGATACATGCAGGAGACTTAGCTCCTGTAAAAGTACACCATGATCCTTGTGAGCTGGGAGTTAAATCTGAAGTAATTATCAGACAAGTCAATGCCCACAGACTTTCCTTGCCTAATTTCCAAGGCTAGGTAGCCTTGCCTAGGAAATCAAAATGAAAATGGAAAGAGAAATGATTTCTCAGTCTCGCTTCCGAAGCCCCGTTACCATTTGAGTCGGCTCCATTTAAAGCGTCAGTCAAACCCCCCATGGTTGTTTTACTGTTCAGCAAGAATATTTGGAAGTCTGGAAAATCAACACTACCCAGCTGTTTCTCCAGCAGGTCAGCCATATCTTTCAAATGACAGAATTGCATAGGTATGTACATCAATATCTAAGAGAGCAGATGGCTTTATGTGTGTGGTCATTTTAATGCAACTATCTCAAATTCAGTCAAAACCCATGT